TTTTTTTTTTTTTTTTTTTTTATTTATCTCTTTAAATAAATAAATAAAAATAAAGTAAAACTATTTATAAAATATATGATCAAATGTATACAGACTTTTGTGAAACAATTTTTATGTACAAAAAATAAATCCCTTATTATAATAACATCTTAATATCAACGATTTTATTTTTATTCATTCCTTTCTCTTTAAACCATTTATAGATATTTTTAAATCTCCTTTAATTTTTTTAAAAAATATATTTATATATATAAATATATATATATATATATACTTTTTTTTTTTTTGTTATTTATATACACTTTATTTAACTATTTTTAGTTATTGTTCTTTTTATGGGATCAAAGAAATTTTAAGTTTCTTGTTAAATTTGTATGATTTAAATTTAATATTTTTATTTCTAAATGTTAAGTTGTTTTTTAATTTTTATATTTTACTGTAATTTAAATTTTATAATATTTTTATTTTTAATTTTATTTTTTTTTTTTTTTTTTAATTTCTCATAAAATTACATGTTAATATTTATTACGATATTGATTAAGAGTATTTTTCTGACAAAGTTATACCTTTTTTATTTTTTTTAAATCACATAAGAAATAATTTTTATAAGTATGCTAAAGAACTATCATTTATATATTATTTATTTTTATTTTTATCTTATTTTTATTTTTTATTTTTTTTTTTTTTTTTTGGAATTTAAATATATATCATATATAAATTTGTCCTCTTTTTCATATTAAGTAAATTAAAAAAAAAAAAAAAATTTTTTTTTTTTTTTAAATGATTTTATTTCCGTGTACTTTTAAAAAAATTTTTGTTTACGCAAATTTTTAGAATAATTTTTTTTCTATATGAAGAATAAATATTAATATTTTTTAAAAGTTAATAAAATTTTCACTTTTTTTTTTTTTTTTGAAGTTATAAAATAAATGTTAATGAGAAAAAAAGAATTATTGTATAAATTTTATAGAATCATTTTATAAATATAAAAGTAGTTATTATATGAAAACAAATTTTGAAAAGTTTTTTAGAATATAGAATTTTTTATAGAAAATTTTTGTTTATATATAAAAGGGAAATATGAAGAAAAATAATAATAGGATAAATAATAAAATTCACTTTATGTATAGAAAATATATCCTTTATTATTATTACTAAATTTAGTAAAAAATAATTTATATAATAATTAAATAAAATTATAATTTTGATTTCTTTTTTTTTTTTTTTTTTAATATTCAAAGAAAAAAATTATAATAAATAATGGTAGTGTAGTATAAAAAATTATATAAGATAGATAATTTTTTTAGGAAAAATATTAACAAAAAAAAAAAAAAAAAAAAAAAAAAAAAAAAAAAAAAAAAAAAAAAAGCGAAATGTAAAAATTAGAATGTTAAAATTGTAATAAAGAATAAAATTTTTGTTTTTTTTCTTTTTTTAATTTGACACATAAAAATAAATTGATATAAAAAGAATTAACAAATATGGAAACATCATTTATACCAAAAGAATTAATTGGAAAAGATATTTACAAAATATTAGGTTTAACTATAAATGATTCAACTAAAGAAAATATAAAAAATATTATTAGAAAAAAATATTTGAAATGTGCTTTAATACTACACCCAGATAAAAAAGATTTTAATTTTAAAGTAGAAGAGAAAGATAAATATGCAGAAAACTTTAATATCTTAAAAAGTGCTTATGAATTTTTAATGAATGAAAAACTAAGAAAAAAATATAATTTATATGTACAAAAGAAAATAAAAAAAAACACACCCATAAATAATACTAGCTTAAATAGATATCTAGATAAAAAAAAATTTGTAACTTATCAAAATCAAAAGTTATTTTACAAAAAAAAACTCGAAGAAAAAGAAAAGTTAAAATGTACTCCCAGTAATAATGAAAAGGAACAACATAATTTAAACAAAGAAATTGATTTAAAAAAAATTAAAAAACAAAATGAAGAATTTATGAAAAAAAGTATACAAGAAAATATTAAAAAGAAAAAATATATCCATGATAATAATAAATTAATTGAAATTTATTTGGATGATTATGATAACAATATTAATTTACTAAAGTTATATATTAAAAAAAAATATTTTTTAAACTTTTTTATTAACTTTAATTTTCTAAAATATTATCTTAATTTAAATGATGAAGAAAAAGAAAATAAAAGAAAAGTTGGTTATATAATATTTAGTCATCGTTTTGAAACAATTAGGGCATTTATATATTATAAAAAGAATTTAGATAAAATTAATAATAATTTTAAATTAAAATTATTAATACCATGTAATGAAGATAAAGAAATGTATGATGAAAAAATACAAGAGTCAGAAAACATTGATGAAATGATGAATGAAATGGTGGATGAATTAGATAAAATTTTTTCAACTGGAATTGATAATATATAATTAATAAACATTTTATTAAAATATTATTATTTTTGAATAGGTATATATGTTTTTATTGAACTGATACAGTATAATGTAATTCTTTTTTTTTTTTTTTTTTTTTTTTTTTTTTTTTTTTTTTTTTTTTTTTTTCTCTTCTTTTTTAATGTTTTCTTTTAAATTTCATTCTTTAAATATACATATGATTATTTGAAAACTAGATAATTCCATTTATCTAAATAAAATTAAAGAATATAGAAATCTCTTCATAGTATATAAAGAAAATTCTTATAAAATAGATAAATGAAAGTTTATATTAATTAATTAGAACGTATGTATTTATATTATTCATTTATTATATTTAAAAATGCTACTTAATAAATACATATGTTTTTGTGAAATATGAGAAAAATAAAAATATGTAAATTGAAACATTAAAAATATTTTAAAAAATATAAAAAAAAAAAAAAAAAAATTAAAACTTAAATATATAATTAATGAAGATTTTGAATTATGTATCATTTCCATACATACAAACATGAAAATTACTGTTTTACTTTTTTTTTCGAAAAAAAAAGAAGAGAAATATAAGATCACATATTTTAAATTAAGAAATATATTAAGTCACAAATATTTTCCATAATAAATATGTATTATCATTAATGATAACATATATCAATTATATATATATATTTAATATATATATATATATATATTTAATATATAAATATTAGAATAGTTCAAGTTTATATAATATTAATTTAATCTTGGATATTATGTATAATATTTTTATCATTATCTTTTTATTAATTACTATTACTATTTTTTTTTTTTTTTTTTTTTTTTTTTTTTTTTTATAAATTTAATACATTCTTAATATTTTATAGTACTTTTAAAAATATATTTTAACTAAAAATGTTTTGTACAATTTTGCACTATTGTTGCATTGCACTATATGCATTTAAAATCAAAAAAAAAATTTTAATTAAAACTTCTTTTTATTTAAGTTTTGTTAAAATATACAGCTATTATTTAAATTTTAATAAAAGAATGAATCTTTCATTTATTTGAAAATATTTAGGAATATTTAAAATATAAAATAAAAATTACATTATGATATGTATCTCATATATAATTTTTATAATTTGTTATAAATGATATAATTTATTTGTTGTAACTTTTTTAATACTTTTTTATTTAAATAATAAAATTTGAAGAATTTTTTTTTTTCTGTTTTTTTTTTTTTTTATAAAAAAAGTAATTAAATACTGTCTTTTTTTTGTTTTATTTTTATACATACTTTTAATTTTTTATAACATTGATAGGAATATTGGATAATTTTTTTTTTGCATTTTCTTGGAATATTAAGAAGGATTTTTCATGGTTTAATAATCTAAAATTTTATAATATTTGGTATAGTTATCATTTCTTTTTTTTTTTTTTTTTGTTGTTTTATTTTTCATTAATATAATGAATCAATCAAAAGAGGAAAGACATTTTCAAAATATAATTAAAAAAATTAAAAATTATAGTATATATGACGAAATAAATAAGAATACAATTGATAAAAATATCATAAAAAAGATATCAATTTTATATGATATTTTTAATCATATAAATAAAAAAAGAAATAATAATATTAATGATTTTATATATACAGATGATATTAAGTATTCATTAAAATATGATGATTTTGTAAAAATTAGGTTTCATATTATACCTATAAAAAGAAAAGGACTAAGTTCTATAGATGAAAAAAGTTACAATTTTGTAAACAATTTAAATAATATAGTAACAAATATATATGATCCTTCTAGTTATAATAAATTTTTAAGAAATGAAATAGAAGAAGATAAAGAAAAATTAAATATTATGATGAAAAGTATTAATGAAATAGAATGTGCTTATATCTATAAATATAGGAGTGATAGCAAGATAAAATTAACATTTGACGTATTTTGTCATAATTTTTACATTTTTCTTTCTTATGATTATAAAAAAAATATAAGTATTCAAAATTTCCAAAATAAATATAATCAAATAAAAGTTAATAATGAGTTTGAATTGTCAACAGGACAAAATATTTTACAAATTAATTCAATTGGTATGATATTAAAAAATTATAATAATTCATTTGAAGAAGATATATTAGAAAAATTAAATCCATTTATATTAGAATCAGAGAGTATGATTAAAGAATTGCATTCAAAAAAATATATTAAAACAAAAAATATAGAATTAGAAAATGATTTTTTTATTAAAAATTCGAATTACGAAGAAGACATGAGAAGATTAATTCACTTTGAAAAAATCAAAGATGAATATAAAAGATTAAAAAAAAGTATTAAAAAAAATTTAGTCTTTTAAGAAGTATAATGTAATTTATAAAAAAGAAAAAGGGAAAATATGTAACATTTATAAAGGTATCGAACAAAATGTGTATATATATTTTTACATATATCTAATATAATAAATATTTATTATCTTTTTTTAGAATTAATTCGAAAATTATATTATTTTAAAATAATTAAATAATATTAAAAAAAAAAAAAAAAAATAAAATAAAAAACTGAAAATATCTATTAGAACATATTTGTTCATATTAACAAAATTTTTTATTTTTTTTTTTATAGACTGTTGTTTTTTGTTTCTTTCTATTATGCTTATAATTATTATTTCTTTTTTTTTTTTTTTTTTTTATTTATAATTATGATTAATTTCCT